TGGCTGGATTCGAAACACAGTCAGTGATTCCAAGCCTCAACCTAATCAATTTGAGCTCCTAAGCCAATTGCAAATTCAGGAAGCAATTTTCTACGGATGAGATGAAGTTGTTCCTGGAGAGCGACTGACATGAACGCGAATGAAATCGGTTACCAACCATATCTTGCAGCGTCTCCAACCTGAGTTAGTTTCAAGGGAGATTTTTGAAAATCTGCGACCATTGCGAGATGTTTTAGGACTACGAACAACCACAATTTCTAAAACTCTACACACAATTTATCTATGTTCAAACCAGGGTCTCATGACCACGGGTCCGTCATGGTTACTGCTCACCTACATATCGGGAGTTTGGTGGCATTCATTTGTGTAATTTTTGCCGCCTTTCTGGAAAGGACTCGAAATTTATGCTGGAGGGGTTTGTCTCTAGACGTGGATTTACCGTTCTGCAAAATTGATAAGAGCTGCTGCGCTGCCTAGGTAACGAAACTCCAACGGAATCATTGTAAATTACTTACAATGCTTGAGTAGGCGAATAAGTGAATGAATTCCGGAAGTCAAAGCAAGTTTTCGAAAATTTCCGTAACTACATCTGTGATCGCGGCCAGATAAGTTATCGCAAAGCCTTATATGTGGTAATTTTTTTCATATGGCATTGGCTGGGTATCGCACCGCTGAAGGTGTGCTCCCTTTAACGCTTTTGTAGCAGCTATTTTAGGGTAACGTCACAATGCAACGGGGCAACGCAATGTACACAAAAGCTTACTTGTGAAATCACACTGTTGTTTCGTATATCCTAACAGTTTTGCTCCATTTGACGACATCCGCTGTCTCCTGCTCCACATATTGAACATTGGTTCGGAAGTAAAACGGTAGACAAAGTTCAATGACTTGATAAAATTCAGTGATGAGTTTAATTACGAACGTTTGTGACTATGGACAAGTTTTTGTTTGGTGGCAGGACTTGTTCCAAACGAAGACCACAAGATCAAGATCGCTTTTGCATCATTTCCTCCTCCGCTTAGAAAAGTCAATACTGAAAAGCTTATCCTTCAAAACTATTCTCAGTCAATTGATAATGTAATCATTCGTTTACTTCTCAGAAGACATTGCCTTCTACGCTGAGATGGTAGGAAACACCATAAACGTGAGGGCATTCCAGGGCATGCGAGATCTTTTAAGTTTCAGAAGGGTTCGGTAAAAAATCGATAGTCTTTATTTCGGCAACATTTCGCTTCTGACACAAAATCTTCTTCAAGTCAAGTGAGCAGGTCGCCAAATTGGCCAGGTTATAAGACACGCGGGGAACCAATCAGTGAGCCCCCTTCAGATCGTCACACTTGATCAGTGTTGAGTGTGAATTCGGGCTCTTTTCGGATACTGCGGTTGTCCAAATCTTACTTTGGTGGATCGAAATAGTTTCAAATGATTTCTGATCGGATTTGTTTCGTCGAATTCTACTTTATGGTGCTTCGACTGATGATTCGCCTCGGTTGCCACGAGTAGATTCTCCGTGGTATTTTTGAGGTTTTGTGTGCTCCCAGAATTTAGTTTCAGCGAGTGCGTTTAGGTCAAGTGAAATTCTTACCTTGACTAATCTTCTTTCTGATGATCACTCGACAGCCCCAAAACCGTTCACCACACGCTTTTTATTCTGTTAAAACTGACATAGTTGGTGATTGCTTCCGCCTCGGCTACCAGTCTCTGTGAATTGAACCTTGGTCCTCGCCTCAAACCCTCAACATTTTCTAAATATATTTTGTGTCCCGTATTCAGTGCGTTTTCCGCAATTGACAAGGCTTCCAGGAACGCTATATAATCATCTTCGTTTCTCTGCAGTCTGTTAATTTTTCTACCATACTCTCCGATTGTGATGTGTAGTTCCCTGGCCGTCTGTCTTGGTGCAGACTTTATAATTAATTTCGTAGAGGAAGTCCTTGGTTCTGTTTCCGGAAGGCAATCCTTCAACTGCGTGAGTGTAGAGCGCAGTACTTTCTCGCTGGAAGGCTACAATTATGTTAGCCGTGTTTAGAATTCTTCAAAGAAAAAATAACAGGGGTCCTGATCACTTCATCG